CACTTTTGCCTGATTTTGCACTTTCTTTTGTGTTTCGTCTCTAGCGACTCTGCGGTGCAGTGCCCTTTCCTCAAAGGGCAGGACCAGGTGGAGCTGTGCCCGAGATGATCGCTGTCCCTTTAGCCTCAGAGGTGCTTTCTGATACTCAAGGAAGAAAGCTTTGGAAAACCTGGCCCAGAAAAATAGCTTTGGGCAGTTCCCAGTTCCTCCTTCAGTTCCCCAAATCAGGGCAGCTCACCTGGAGGACTCTGGTTATGGACAAGTGACCTTTGCCCATGCCACAGCAAGGCAATCCTTTGTCTCCCTTGGGGAGGTAGCTTGTTTCTTGCTGACCTCCTGCTCCTGTGGGGTAGCTGCCATGTGCCATCATAGCATCTGGAAAGGCTGGAGCTGCAGCCTGGCTTCATGGATCTTGGCAAGAAGAAACATCCCCACCTGGCCCTGCTAATCCTGCCTTAGGAACCGGTCTCCAAAATGGATCTGAGGAATCTGCTAAGCTGTAGTGAGATCACAGGTTGCAGGAAGGGGTAATGGTTGAGAGCATAAGAGGTTGCCATGTGGGCAGCGGTACGAATCGTGATGCTTGTACCATGGACACATGCAAAGCATGGACATGAGTGATACATGCTGTCGCAGGAGTGTGTGTTTCAGAAGGGCTTACAGAGTTAGGGGCATAGAAGTCAAGGGAGATCAGCTGGATTGGCCTCAGCCTGGTACTCGATTCTTAACTCAGTATCAGAGATGGTGAATTTTTCGATGATTTCATGGTATGCAGTTTTATTTGGGTCAGTGAGAGCACAGCATATGACTTTGCTACCCTTTAGGGAAGGGAAAATGAGTGCACCATCTAATGATTCAGCACACGGGATTTCTTAACAGCCTATGGGAGAAAGATGTTTTAATTCTGTGTTCATTCCTGAATAAGCCGTTAATTTGAGTTAGCAATTTCCTTGGAGCTCAGAGGAGAGGAGTCTGTGATCAAATGGAGTGGCTCAACGCTGCTCTCTCCTCCTTTCCCTGTTTAAAAAGGTCGGGCTCATCATAACAAACCTCCTTCGACTATTAGCCCTTGCGATGGTCTTCCCAGACCGTTTCAAGAGTCCTGCATGATCCAGCAGTGGTAACAGCCCTGCTGTTATTAATCTCTGTGACCCCAAAAAAGTCAAAGCGCTCAGTGCATAAAGACCGCAGCTACGTCCTCTGAAGGATGCTGCCTCTCTAACCCAGCCTGCTGGCGCCTGGTCAGGGTCTGCAGCCCTTTTGCAGAGCCCAGGGGCTGCACCTTGTGGCTGCGGGAGCTGGTGGGACACTGGTCTGGGGGCCAGCAGCCTTCCCCTGGGGAGTGAGGGGCTGCTCAGATGTGCAGGGCTGTTGGCAGGGCTCAGCCCCGTGCTGTTTTCTAGGCAGTTCAGTGTATAAAATCACTGGAGATGTTTTCAGCAAAAAGTCTCCCCACAGACCCGTTCTGTTGCTTGTTGAAAGAGGATTAATTTTTCCCCCTTAAATAAAATGAGCCGTGTTTGAAATCTGAAAGCCCTTGCTGAATGCCTTCTTGGAGCTGCAAAGAAAGCAGCTTCCAGGTCACATCATAGCCTCCTGCCGGACACGGATCCAAACTGCAAACCCTTCTAACAGCTCTTTAATAACTCTGCACAGAAGGAAAAATCTGTCACCTTTCCCTCTGTGGTTTCTCCTCTGTTCTAATGCACTGGAGGAACGAGATGGAGCCGGGAAAGTTTTCAGGGAAAGACTCGTGGGAACTACAGCTGCCGATGGAGAAGACTCATTTCTTTAGTGTCTGAGGGGAACCGCAATCGCTTTGGTGAAGGGTGGTGTGTGTGGGTGGGTTTGGAGGGGTGAACCGTTATGACCCATGCATTTCAGAAGAACCACAAACACTTTATAGTAACAAAGGGTGGAAAAAGCGAGAGGTTTCTGCAACGCATGTGACTTTTCCCTGAGGTTTGGAACCCCACAGTATGTTCCAGGCCATGGTGTTTGCGTGTCAGTCGGTGAGTTAAGCTTTCTCCCACAAGCCTCGCTTGAAGTTGCTGTGATGACTGAGAGCCTAAAATGTTGCTTTTTTTTTTTCTCTCTCTCTCTCTCTTTTCATTCTCCCCCACCCCCTCTCCTCTCTGCAGCTGAAGCTCTCGTTTACCTTGGACCAGGAGAGTGGGATGCCTCAAGGCTGTTATATCTATCAGTACCGGGACAGCAACAAGTAAGTCCCGCAGAAGGTTGCACACAGCAGGTAGGGGAAGGTGCATTGAAAGGAAACTGCCCTGCCTTCTGGCAGAGGGATCACAACTGCTTGTACTGTTTAAAAGTAGATTAAAGCAGGCTTCAGGCTTGACCTGAAACTGGGAACAGCTCCTGTAAAGGCCAGATCCTTTAAAATGCACGAGGCCCTGCAGCCCCCTTTTTTTCTGCAGCATTTAAAAGCTGCTTTTATTTGTCTAAAAGGCCGGCTCTTGGGTACCACAGGCTCTGGCAGAACTCACCCAGGCTTTGCCCCAGGGGTGTTTGCAACTCAGACCCTGCACTGTTTTGTGCTGAGGTGACTCTGGGAGTGTGGGCTGGGGGTAAGCATCCAAAGGCTGCAGAGCACCAAAGAGGGCAGCCCTTACCTCTGCTCAGCTAGAGACACACAGCACCCCATTCTCTCTGCTAAAGCTCATGTGTGGGTTCACTGAGTGGCCTTTCATTTGTGGTACCAGAGCCCCAGCGCTCTGTTTTTATAAGGTACCGTATGATATTCAAGCTTTGGATGTGTTTGGAGCACAGAGTCCTCAGTTTCTAGGTATTCTGCCTATTTTTACTAGCTGCTGTAGTGAATTGGCACCCAAGATGTTTTTATTTCAAATCACATTCTCATTATCAAATTGACAGCAGCAGCACAGTTCAGGATATTTCTGTGTTCGCGCTGGGTTACTTTGCCTGAATACCAGCATGTCATAAATCCATAGCCTGTTACCTCCGCCCATATAGTTCTGCTTCTTGCCAGTTACTGAAGGTTAAGCTAAAAAAAGAGGATATATGAAATTGTCAATGTAATTAGATCTGCTTTGAAACGCTGACAAGAACAGTCTCGACAAGGAAGAGGGACATCCACAAACAGCACCTACCCCTTTCTAAGCTGAGAAATCTCAGTGTTTAAACAAGAAGGGAGATAATTTCTGGGAGAATCCTTCCCACCTGTGGATGGGCGATTAGCACATGATACACGGTCCCATCCCAACTATTCCGGCCTCAGAGGCATGGATGAGCAGATTTGGTACCTCCAGCACCACCAAGCTAACGGGGAAACGTGCAGTTCAGCGCCAAAGCATAAAATCAACAAGGGAAGAGAAAATTGTTTTTGAGGTTTTAAAGGCAGCAGCACACAATGGACAGCGAGGAAAAGAAAACCCCCAGACCTGTTGGGGTTTGTTAAGGATGTTTATAGATCCAGTGTTTCTAATTGTGTGGCGTATATCTCAAAAATCAGCAGCCGCCTTTTTTTCTGCCACAGACCTCCTCTCCCAGGGCTCCGATGTGTGTTTTGTGCCATTGTTTGAGGAAACTCCGGGGACGGGAGTGGAGCTATTTTGTTTAAGTGCTAAGACCAATAGCAATACCACTTGGAAACCTTGCTTTTAGCTGTGAGTGGTCCAGCATGTGACAAAGTAGCTGCAGCATGTTGGCAGCTGTTGATTTAGAGATGTATGGCTGTGACCTGCATTTCTGGCAAGTGTGGGAGCCGAGCCACCCCGAGCCATGCCAGCCAGGATCATGGGTTGGAAAAATATGGTGCGGGCAGGATGAGTGCGATGGCAAGTAAACCCAGACTTTGTGTGCGTCTGACGAATCCACACTGCAGTTGTACCTCCCTGCAGGGCCCCGAGCTTTGTATTTTATAGCTTGTTTGACTAACCTGGGGAGAGCAGGATCCCATTTCCCAGGGAGAGCTTCGCTAAGTTTGCGCACACACTTACCCTCCTAAGCCCTGTGCATGCAACCCAGCGCCTCTGACAATCCTTGGCCGGTGGACTGAAGCATGAAGGTCTGTGCTGCAGCTGATGTATTCTTGCAGGTAAAGTGCCCATGAGCCAAACGTGTGCTCGGTTCTGGTTGTACCCTCAGTGATTTTGGAGGAGCCCATGTGCACTGCAGCTTTATTGGCAACAGAGCATTGCATTTGAGTAGTGTAGTGAAGCACCGGACGCAGCTCCTGCTCAGCCAAGCAGAGACCATACTTCTCAAGCACTGGGCTTTTTATAGGGTTAATTTGTTATCCATACAATAGCATGGCAGTTGTCGTGATAATTTTTCCTTAGCAATTTCCCAGGGTAAATTGCAGGCTTTGTGTTCTCCAAAGCCTAGTCAGGCTTTGATGGTACTCATCAGGACCCAAGGGGATAACAGCTCTTTTGCGTTCTTCTAAGGACGTATCTAGAAGTTAAAGCAACGTAGCGTTTGTGCCTGCACCATGTTTTGGAGCTGTTTACCATGTTTGGAGCCCAGGGAAGAAATGCTGGCAATACACTGTGGATCCCTGCAAGCTCGTGCATGGGGAAGACTGCAGATGTGCACCCTGGAGCCCTGCGTCCTCAGCAGAGTGTCAGGGCTGGGACCCACGCAGGGGACAGGCTTGCAGCGGGAGCGCAAGTGTGTGAAGCTCTCGAGCAGCAGCTTTAACAGGAGGAAGCGGAGGTCATCTCGGTTGATGGGAACTCATTCTGACCTGGGGAGTGTGCCCGGTGCCCCGGAGATCTGTGTGAGCAGGGCTGTGCGTGGCGAGGTTCAGTGCCACCCTGGTCACCGGAGGAGTGTCCCTTCCCCTCCAAGTGGCAAATGCTGTTCCAAGCTGCAGCCAGACGGGGCCACCGGAGAACAGCAGATATTGGCCTCCCGCTCTCAGAACAAAGGACTGCAGCATTGCTGAAAGTGTAATTACCAGAGCAATTAAAATTTCTATTGCTTAGGCTAGAAGTGCAAGTAACATGCAGGCAATCAATTGGAATTTGTTCCTTTTAAAATGATAAAACCCTGCCAAGGATTTTTTGCCCGCTCCCGGCAGCTTCCCTTTGCCTGCCTGCCTGCCTGCAGCAGCATCCATGGGCACAACGCTCGCCAGGTGCCCGCTCTGCTATCACACACTGGGTGCTGAGCACTTTGGGGAGACCGGACTCAGCGGAGCCTTGGGAGCCTTGGACTGAGAGCAGAAGAGGTGCTGAGCAGCCAGCTGCTTGCCCCTCCACCCCCTGCTCTAATATATTGATATCCGATGGCACTTGATAGTCCCAGTAGCGATCCAAGTGCTGTGCTTGGAGCTGTATGGAGGAGAGGCTGTCGCTGCCCCTGCAGTCAGGGGTGAGAGCAGGGGACATCACTTCTCCCCTTTTCCCCTCCTCAGACCCAGACACTTTCCTCCCCTTGGCTGCCAGTCCTTCCTGGCCCCAGAGGAGATGACTTGACCTCATGCAGAAGCAAGCCGTCTGCTTTCTCATTTTTAAGCCACGTTACTTAAATTCTCCCTAATGGGGATCAGTCAGTATAATCGACAGAGCACCGGGCTGCTGCACTGGGCTGCTGTAGGAAGGCTGTCCTGCGACGGGACACGCTGTGCCGTGCTGGGTGACATTTGGAACAGGAGCATGTTATCAGCCTTCATGTGGCCCCAGAGCAGTCACATCTAGGAGAGGACAGCCCTGCCAGCTGTCCCCTGGGGTGACTGCGGAATGAGTCGGGTGTTGAGGGCGGGACTGGCTTTCTGCTGCTGCCTCCTGTGCAGGCTGGGTTTCTCTGGCACTGCACAGGATCCAATTGCAAAACCCAGGTAGGCAGTAAGAGACCATCAAGGCCATTTGCATCCACCATGGCTCATGAATCCCATCTTACAACACGCACTCACCGGTCCCTGATCTAGGAATATGATACCGTCTGGGCTGAGGAAGTGCTGGCTGCCTGCTCCGAAGCCTGCCTACCTGGCGCGGCTGGTCCTACTCTTGTGGGCTGCCAGGCAGCAAGAAGGATTAGGTCAAGACAGGTTACAGGTGATCATGAAAGACTTCTTCCAGCTCAACTGCAGGAAGGGCCAAAGCCAACTTGAGATCCCCCTGGAAGAAAAGAATTGCGAGAAGCTTAGTGTCTTTTGGCTGTATCCAAGAAATAGAAGATTGAATCTGTTTTCTGCATTCACTGTCGCTATCCAGACACTTCTCTGGAGACCTCCTAGGCTCTGCTCACCTACCCGCAGCAAGTCTGACTCTTTAAATGCCTTTGTCTTCCTCCCAATTCTCTCTGATTACTGTCACCTTTCTCAGATGATGCAGTGCTCAGGGTCCCTGCCATCCCAGACCCACCGAGGAACTATAAACCCATCAAGATTCATCCTGTTACGTGGGCCGTATTTGCAGGGCATTGTGATGCTTCCTTGTCCCCAGCTGGTTCTCCTCTAACATGGTTTTCCTGCTCCCTTAGCCGCCAGGTATTGGTCTCTTTTGTAGGTCCCTTCCTCATGTCACAGACGCTGCCTTTGCCGATAGACCAGCTTGCAGTTCGCCAATGAATTTCATTTTAATTCCTTGCTGCAGCTGGGGTTTGTGTCAGGATTATGAATTTGCAGTGGGGGCTTTCATGTTCTCTTCAGAGTAATTTCTAAACCCAGGGGAGCAGCATCTTGCATGGAAGCACTTAGAGACCTCTCACAAAAGCAGCGTTCAAGTATTGATCATTTTTTCTCTCCAGGGACCTAGAGTACTACAGATAGAGCTACTGTGCAGTGTAGCCACTTGCGGGCAGCACCACACAACTCTTCAGGATGAGAAGTGAAAAATAGCTCCAGTTGAAAGGAAAAGTGGTGCCCCCTTTTATATAGAGATCAATGATGCCTGGTACATTGGATTATCACTTAAAACACCAGGACTTCAAATGCCAGGGTGCATGCACTCCTGATGCTGACAGGCTAGTGATATATAATGCTGTTTGGGTTACCAACTGAGCTCCTCTGTGCAATCTTTTCATAAGGTGAATGTAATATCTGCAGTGATGTACCCAATGTTACATCAGGAGAGCCAGCCTATAATTATGCTTGAATTGTTTGAACGGGTTATTTGTCACTAACACATTAGCTCACTCCATTTATTGCTACCATTCAGGGCTGCAGCAGGCTTGGTGTAAACAGAGCTTGGGTGGAGGTTTGGGGGGATTTGTGTTTCTGAATAGAGCAAAGCAGAATTG